AGAAAAGTTAGCTTTATTGGAAATGTGCCTCTCTACACAAAAGCCAAATCGGTTAAACATGCCTTGGAGTTGGGCTTTATCAGGTTATTAACACGTCCCATCATGTAGTACGGGTACTTTTGCTGTTCTCTCAGAAACGTTCTTTAAGAAACAATGACAAACATCCAATAGTGAAGCAAAGGAGACTGCTATAGTACAGATCACAGATGAGAGCACTTGTGCTCAGCCTCTTATTTTCTTAGAGCCCATCAATCTCTCTGGTAAAGAGCTTGGGCCGCACGCTTCCAGATATAACTTCAACTTTTTACTAAACAGACACGTGGCTGGGAAGCTGCAGGCAGTCCTGGCCTCCTCCCAGTGACTCAATCAACCCAAGGCTGGTTCAGAATGTCCGTGCTTCTCAACGGAGTGCTGCGTCTAACCTCTAGGCCAAGGTGCCACCACAGTACAGTAAGCCCAATTGAACCCACAGGAAAAGAACGCTGACTGTCTCCCTAAAGCTCCCAACCGCAGACCGAGAGATTCCTGGTTCTGTGATAGAGGAACTAGCCTCCTTCCTGGTTCTGTGGCTGTGACCTCTAGAGGGATTTGCAGTGGATAATCTTCGATGCTGGGGGTTTTGTATTTGTCACCTGAAGATAACAGGTCGCACTCAGTATTAACTTAAATAGTTTGAAGGCGGACAAAAGATTTCTTCCCACCACCTGCACTGCACATTCAGTCTCGTTCCATACCTTTCCTCAGCACGCGCAGAGCCCCAGAGCAGTGGAAAGTGTGCCGGGGTCCCGAAAGATAAATGCAATTCACTCTTCCTAATGGCTTACTCAAGGTCACAGGGGGAAGGGCTCCAGACAAACATCGGACTTCAAAAGCCTGGTGAAAATCCAGGTTTCCTCAACAGAGCGCTTGGTTCCCCTACAATGAATGCTTAGATTCTTCTCACTCAGGGCAACTGTCCACCATTGAAGCTATTATTATTTTATAACCAAAGTATATTTTTATACTTGGCCTTGCACCATGAAGGGAGAAACAACCGTGTGAGCAAGGCCTCAAGCCAACTCAAAATACCTCTGCCTGCAAACACTCGGGCAGTTAGACCACAGCCCGGGAGGAGGAGAGAAGCTGTGAGATGCCTCAGCACATGCCCTAGATGGTTCTGTCACCGATTCAACAGCATTGCCCCACTCCCTCCCATCCGACAGAGCAACGGCAAGGGGTGTGGACCTTCCTTTCGAAACAGACACTCGGCACCTCCTGTACTCCAGGGTCTGAAGGAGAGCCATGTGGACCAACGAACCTCCCCATCAGGCAGGACAATTCAATCCCACTGGCCCCACCTCACCTTTTTTTTTCAACAGGAAGGCCTAGAGAAGCAACGGACCCACTTTACATTTGCATAAAGCTTTGTAATTTGCAAACCACCCACACTCCCATGATCTCATCTCAGTCCCATAACAATCCAATGAGGTAAACCCAAGCCTTCACGAGACAACCCTCAGAAACGGCTGTCAGTCCTGCCCCATGGGGCTGTGGTACGGGGAACGTCAAGGCCGGCACGCGGTAAGTGCTGCATAAATGCTAGGTACAAAGCTCTCAGCCAGATAGTATTGTACCCATTTGATGGCTGCAAACTGAGACTGCAGGCGAGCGGGCCTCTCGGGGACCAGACTCAGCAGAGAGAGCAGCGGAGCCAAGATGGGATTCTTTCCACAGGCACACAGACCCGAGGAGCTGAAAACTGCCCAGGGCAGTCCCATAGAGGCTAACGGAACCATACGGGCAGAAAGGGAGCTGGAGTTCAGGTACTGGTCCCCATTCTCTGCTGGCACAGAAGCCACCAGTGTTCATTCTTGGGGCCTTTATGGCCCTTTTGGGGGGCCAAACAGCCAGTGTCAAGCTTTCCGATGAAAAGGCTCTATTCCCAGTACAAAGTGCCGTTTAATTACACTGCCGCTCCAGTTTTCTGCTTCCCGGCTCCCCACTCCCACTGGGCAAGCCCTGAAACCGCGTAGGAGATGAAGTCAAGAGGGAAGAACAGGCGAGACATTCTCTCCCTGAACTTTCTTACAAGGAAGAGATGGGGGTGTGAATTAAAAGACCCATTTTCCAGGGAGGGGGCAGGGGCAATGATCTTTCCATCAAGCAGACCTGCGTGAAGAATCTATAGATTATTTAACACCGGGGGTGGCTGTGGGGTGAAATAATGGAATCTTTGTGCAAAGCCAGCCACAGTTACCCTCGCTCTCGCCTCACAGTTAGGCATTTAACCCAACTCTCTAAATCACCGAGCGCTAATGCACCCCATCTGTGCACTGCTTGCAGCCACAGCCATGAGATGAAGGCTGTGCTGACTTTGGCCCTGGATTTAGGATTGAGCCTTTCTGCCCCCAAGGAGGGGCAGGAAGGAGAACACAGGGCGGCAGTGGCTTCCCTGCGCACCACGTGCTCTCTCCCAATGCCCATCTCTTTGTTCACTCACTGAGCTCTTGCCGCAGGTCTGACTCTGGGACACCCAGAAGACAGAACGTGGTTCCAGGGCCCAAGGGAGCTGCGAGAGCTCATGGGAGAAAGGAAAAAGATGAAGGAGGAAGAACACTCTTAGAAGGAGGAACAGAGGCTTAAACTAGCCCTACCTGAAGATCCAAGCATGCTGCTGACTTCCTGGCCGTTAAGGCATAAAAGCAAGGAACAGGGCCTGGCAGGACTTACAGGAGGCATGACTTACAGGCCAGGCTCAGCGAGACCGTCAAAGGCCTGGGTAGCAGGCTAACGAGAAGACACTGACTTTGAGCGACATTATGATTTCCACATATTCACACAATCCCACTCCAATACCACCTCTTCCAGACATTCTCCTGATCCTCGGGGCAAAGCAATCTCGCCCTCTCTTCTCTGAATTCCTGGTTCGGCCGATCACTAATTTGGGAACTAGCACAATTTCTGAGCCTCAGCTTCCTGTTCCATAAAAAACACAGTCCATGCCATTGATCTTCAATTCTGCTCAGGAGGGCTCCGTGAGATAAGTGCCGAGGAGGAACTTAGCACACAGTGAGTGTGCAACCAATCACGCATCTTTCTTTCTTCTCGTCGCGGGCACCTGTATTTTGTAGGGTGCGTAGCACCTCTTGTAGAAAAAAAGGAAGCTTTGGCTTCCCCGCTAGACACAAAAGATTCTGAAGAAAGGGACAATTTGCAATTCCTCTCCACGCTTGCAGGTCCCCTTCCAAAGCCCAGGTGACTGGCTTCCTTCTTCCTTGATGGACAGACTCCCCACATCCCAACTGCCAAACTCAAGGGTTCCCCAGAACTCCAGATGGAATCGGAGACGAGCGGACAGAGATGCAAACCAAAGACTGGCTGAAACGAACAGCATACAGGAGGGAGCCATGGCAGAAGTACAGCCCGGCCTGCGGGCCACGACGCCAGGCAGGCTCGTTTCTATTGAGCTTGGTGGGCCCCTGCTGACTCCTCTCACCTGACTGCCCAGCAGGGATAGTCTGATGCCGTTCAGTGAACACCTCAGGGTCTGAGGTAACCCTCAGCCCAGGGACAGGTAGGAAATGACCTCAGACATTAGACTTTCGTGATCATCTGAGATTCTCCACGACCACAAACTTGATGGCCCTGTCAGCCTCTTCCCTTCCTGTGTCAAATCACCCTGCTGGGGAACGCTGTTCTGTCCTCACGGATGGATCAAGCCTTCATCCCTGGGTGACTGGGGCGACCAGCCAGAGGCAAGGAAGGGGATCTCACCTTGTCTAGCTTAATGCTGGGGAACAGATGTGCTGACAGACTGGGACAGACCTCTATCTGAGGGAAGTTCCCTAAGACCTGATTCTAAGTTAGGAAAGCCAGACCACTGCATGACACCCAGCTGTCCTCTGTGTCGGCCAAGCCTGGCATGGCCAGCTCAGCCCTGCCTGGCGGGTTGCATGCTGAGTGCCACAACGTCAGGGGCAGCCGTGGCATTTTCCAGGAACACGGGGTTCTTTGTAGCCTAATCTAGACTTGCATATCGTTCTGTTTGTTTTACTTTCATAGCGTGAAAGCCAAGTTCTGGGAAAAGATGCACTTTTAAAGGAAAGCCCCCTCCCCCCCCAAGTCCACTTCTCCTAGTAAAACCTGTCTCTCCTCCCCTGGGGCTCCAGGTTCAGAAGGGAGACAGTTCTCTTGGTGGGGGGGGGGGGGTCCTCAGGGATCCACTTCCTAAGTGCACAACTTCAGCGAGAATTTGTTTTGTTTTGAAACCCCCTGCCCCAATCTCAGGAAGCAAATGGCTTCCTGGGGCACCACAGGGAAACTTAAGAGTTGACCCTTTCTTCTACTGTGGTCAGAAGTGGAGCCTGGTTCCTCCATGGGTAAGCACTGTGTGCCCCCCAAGCCAGCAGGTCACCCCTTCAACAAGACTTCAGCAGTCTCATTACTCTCCAAAGGGCATTGAAGGCAATGTCCTCTCTAATAAGACACCTCCCCCGTCTGCCCCCTGGCCTTTCCTAATATTCCCTTTCCAAAGGGGAATCGCTGTACATGGTGTTTACCCGCCAACCCAAACCACGTAAGCAGAGCAGACGGCTCCAATCACTCCTCACACACTCCTTTTCTCTGGTCTGCATGACAGCAGTCCCCAGTGCCCCAGCAAAGAGGAAGTCACATAATGTCCACCCATCCTTGTCCTAGGATACCCTAAAAATAACCCAGAATTACATCCCTGAGCTTTGGGGGAGCTGTCGGTTAAGTGGTGCACCACCAAATACAAGGGTGAGGTTGCAAAGCCACCAGCTGCTCCTTGGCAGAACGAGGAGGCTGTCTGGGTCGGTCATGATTCACAGCCGTGGAAACCCCACATCGGGTCACTCTGAGCCAGAACCGACTGGAACGTGGCGAGAGTTTGGTCTGGGGGTTGGAGTTAAAAACACAATAGAAGCATCCCGGTCTCCGGGAGAGTGTGCACACCTGTACAACTCTGGGAGCAGCAGGAAGTACCTGCAGGAAACATGTACCTTGGAAATGAGTTCATCATGGTTGGCCAGATGGGCCCTGCAGTGGATGCAGCTGTAGGTCCTGTGGCAGGAGGGCAGGTATGCCTGGAAAGTCTTGGATCTTGTCATCTTCACCATTGGCGCCGCTGAGCGTGGGGCGAACTCTGGGGCAGCCCACGAGGCACTCCCACAGGATGGGTCGCACGGGAAACACCGGAAGACACAGGTAAAGGCCGTGGTTTGGCAGGGGTGGGTGTGGGGCAGGCTCCACACACTGGTGAGATCTTCAGAGGAGGGCCTTCAAACAGAGGCCTTGGGCTGGTTGTCAGAAGCCTGCGGTGCCAAGAAAACGGGACTATCATCAGAAGCTAGAACAAGACTCCCCCCACAAATGAGCTATTCCGAATGCTGTCTACAGACAGGTAAAATGCCCCATCCCACCCCCTCACCCTCTGCCCGCGAGGACCCATGAAGAGGCAGAAAAGCACTGTGCTTTTATTTCAGGGTCACCCAGCACTCTCAGCAGCTACCTGGGGACCCTCCGCAGACTCCCAGCACAATGGCATTACCACCCACCACACCCAGAAAAGCCCACGGCCCTCCCTCCGGAGAGGACTCCCAAGGACTTCCCTCTCCTGTTCCAACCAAGATGAATGGCTAGAGGAAAAGGGGAATATCTTCGGCCTTTATTGATGTACTAGTTCACCGGTCACAGGCAGACTTATCGTTTCCAGAGGCTGGGAGTCGCCCCAGCACAAACCTCACACCATCCTTGCTTACAGACCGAGCCCGGCACCAAGGCCCCTCCTCAGCCACAGGGCGGAGTGGCTTGCTTTATAGTCCACGGTGCCCAGAAGATGCTCAGGATGCAATTTTGAAAAGACCAGTGCATGAACGAAACTCATGACATCATCAGACGCCTGCATCTGAGACTGTATTTTACTAGACTCTCTCCCCAACCCTCAGGCCTCCCCTCCCAGTGCCCATAGTGGCAAACATCTCTCCCCAGCATAAATGCAGCTTCTTGTACCCTCCTGGGAACTAACAAGACACCAAGAAAGCCAGCTGGGGCTCCCAAGGCGACCAACTGACCTCTGGGTAAAGGTCATGGGTAAAGGCAGGGCCATGGAGCCTAGACGGCCAGCCTCACCCCACGTCTCTGTGCTCACTCACCTCCCTGAGGCTTCCCAACCTGTCTATTCCCTGGGCCACACTAATGGGGGTGAGTGTTCCCACTTGCCTACCTCCCAGGAGAACAGTGAGTGTTAATTAACGCCTGCATCATGCTTTGAAGATAAAATTATTTGGAGAGATGGGGGAGGAGGACAAAATGAAATCTTCCTTGCTGGATTATGTCTGGAATCCATCTGGAAGTTTAAAGAAAGCCTGCAAACCATAGCCCTCTCCACCTCTACACCATTTCCTTCTACACCTCTGGAACCCAAGTTTTTCCAAAGAGAAGCTGCCTTCCCTCTCTTCCCACCACAGCGGTCACCAAAGGCCACCACACCTGAGACTCTTTCTGTGTGGCCACACCCCATGGGCTAGCCGGAAGCTGGAGGAAAACTGGCCACTTAGCCCCTCGTGATAGATAGCATTTCCCTTCTGCAGCCCTGGGCCAAGCAGGTCCCACTTCCAGGGGGGCCAATGACAGGAGCTTCGGGCTATTGAAAGGGCATGCCCTCTGAGGCCCAAGGCACAGTCCCTGCTCAGTCTCCCAACTGTTTTTAAAGACGTGAAGAAATCATGTTAGCGCAGCGCCAGCACTGCCGGTGTCACTGAAGGACATGCAAGCGGGAGCTCCTTTCCCAGCCAGACCCTCACGGGAGCCAAGGAAGGTGTGCGAGCCCTTGGATTCACAACCTGGGTCCCCCAGTGAGCAGGAGGAGAGGACAGAAGCCCACCGTGGAGATTTCTAACAAGGACAACGGAAGTCAATTAAATCAAGACAGCAAACCGAGGGTGTTGGGTTTTGACGTGTTGCGGGTCCTAAGAAGAGTCACGTACCCCTCTACTTGGGGCTTTTGAAATCTGCTCCAACATCAACACGCCACTCTCGGCCAGGACCGAATTTCCAGGAACGGGGTAGGACAGGTGTAGGGACTAGACGAGACAGGCAGGGAGAAGCTCCGGGGAGCTCCTCCGGGCCAAGCGCTCCTCAAAAGCCTCCCGCCTGGGCCCACCGTCTTACACAAACACGGAGGGAGGAAAGGAAATAAGGAGGCCGGCTGCGGTCGGGGTTTATCCGGCAGCCGCAGAGTCTTTTCTTATACATGCGGACGGCTTCTCAATTATGCATTTCCCTGGAGTAGAATGATTTCTTCTCTCACTTCTCGTTGGAGGAAACCAAGAGAGTTCACAGGCAGGGGTTTCTGGTTATGCTCAGTTTCAAATCCAAACCTCTAAACGTACTCCTGTTCCTTCTCCTAAAAGATAAGCATTTTCCGCGCACGCACTCGGTCCTCACGATAGCTCTGAACTTCAAAACAAACATTTAAATCCACCACAGAGGCCTCCACGGCCCCGTCGAAGGCTGCCTGGTGCTAGCAAAAGCTCCAGAGCGCCCAAGCCACACGCAGTAGGTTTTGCTGCTGGACCGTCACTCTGCTCCTCCGGCTCTTTCCTACGAGCTCCACAGGCACCCGAAACAAGTGACTGCTTTCCCCCGAGAAGGTGAAAAAAGAAAAAGGAAAAAGTAGCTCACAGAAACATGTCTCTTGTCTGACACAGGGCAGACTAGAAGGAAGGCGAGTGGAGAGAAAGGTGGCTCAGGGTCGAGAGGGGGGAGTGGTGGAGGAGGAGAGAGATGACGACCACTGGGAGTGAAAAATAATCACCTCTACCATCTTCTATCTTAAGAAAAAAATAAAAGCTTCTCGAATTTAAGGGAGAAAGTTAAAGGCAACAATAAGTTGGGCATGCACTGGACTTGCGACATTTTCCTCTGGGGATTGTTAGTTGGGCCACGGGCGTCCCACTTGTTGGACGCATCATGGAGTCCAAACCAAGCTCCAACCATAACCAAGTGAGCTCGAGCTTGCAAAGATCCAGCCTCAGGACACATGTGCAAATTGAACACTCTTGTGTGAGTGAAGTAATAATCCTTCACGGTAGAAATTCAAGTAAGATCTGCTACCCTCCCTCCAGCTGGCTCCACGCTGCTGAGCGTGTAAAGCATAGGTGTGAGGGATTGTGCTTAGAATGGAGGTCTGTCTGAGACATCGCCTCGGGAACCAACCCTCTGGGCAGAGAGTGCCAAACCTGGCCGACCCACTCGACAGGGCTTTTCCATAGGAGCCAACTGGAACTGGAACAAACACACGGAACTGCTGGGTGTCACCAGGAAGGAGGAGAACAAGAGGCAGGGATTCCAGTCACCCATGAAGAACCCAGAGCATGGTGCAGGAAGCAAGGCTGACCACCACACACGGCCACTGACCCTAGCTCCAGGTGGTCACAGGGCACCCACCCTGGGAAGGGACACCAGCAGCTAAGGGACACAACCAACCAAAGTTGTGCCTGTGTTGTTTGGGTGGGGTGCTTGGATAGGCTTGGGGGAAGGAAGACTGACAGAAATGTAGGCTTTGGGGTCACACAAACCAGGTCTGCCTAGTTTGTGTCTAGTTGGGTGACTTTTGGCAAGTCCAACATGACCACTCTGACCCTCAGTTTCCGGTTTCTAATGATGCCAATTTATAGAGGGTGGTGAGAAGTCAGTGAGCTGATATAAGAGCATGCGCGACATCTGACCCATAAATATGCGACAAAGCTCCGGCTATTATTTTCAGTGCTCAACAGAAAACCAGAGCGAGACGCAGCCTTCTGTGCTGTTGCTTTCAAAATGGCAACAGAGGCCTGAGGATCCCCAAACAAACACAGGGTTTGGGTCCTTTGAGGGCAGATTCTTCGTTTTCCTACTCAAGTTGCACCCCATGCCCAGGTGGAATCACATCCCTCGGAAGAACCTTCTGACCTATCTGGGGGTCTCTGGGTGGTACAATCAATAAGCATCCTCCGGCGCTCACTGGACAGTTAGATCGGTCCCTTGCTCGACTGTAAGCTCCTGGAACAGGACCACATTTCAGTCACATGTTTGTACCCTTGAGCACAGAGCACACTACAGAGGCAAAGATCTTTGTTGAACTGAATTCCCTCCACACCCTAACTAGGCTGCAGACTCAATCAGCCCACCTCCTTGCACGGGCAGCAGACACGACTGCAGCCCTTCCTCATCCCCAGTAGTGAGGAAGAACTCAAAAGTTATCCCCCTCCAGCCCTGTTCTTCAACCTCCCACTCAGGTTCTGCCAAGAGATGGCCGGAAAACCAGGGTTCTTTGAGACTAGAACCACGGGTAGAGAGGAAATGCCCGTCTGTGGCAACCATGCCCAATTCGTTCATTTGTGCTTCTAAAAAGTTATACACGCATGGCTCTCTTTCCTCCCTCCCATTTACTACAGAAAAAAGTGGGCGCTTATGTTTGCTGTAGAGACAGGAGGTGAGGAGCCGTGCCCTGCCCCTGCGGGGGAGGAAAGATGCCTGTCTGCTGGAAGCAATAGTGAGTGATGCACTGGAAAGGGAAGGGGCAAGTCATTTCTGGGGCTGGAAGGGTATGGGGGGGGGCAATAAAGTGACCATGCAAGGCATTTACCGTATATACTCAAGTATAAGCCAATCCGAATATCAGCCGAGGCACCTAATTTTACCACAAACACTGCATAAAAAAATGTGCTGAAAATTTCGGCTTACACACGAGTACATATGGTATCCCAGTCTTCTCTTCCCATTCCTAATCTCACCAAAAGCCTGAACTCACACCAGAGAACAAAGAGACTTGGCTGTCCCGGCCTACCATAGGAAAGAAGTGGGTGGCGGTGCAGGTCAGTGGTGAGTGCAGCTTCTAAAGGCAGTGGATCTACGTTCAAGTGATGGCACTTTTTCTCATCCTCCGCATGACCCAGGGCAAGGTGGCTATAAGGCATGACTAACATCAGTGCCCGCCTCGCAGGAGACAAAAGATCGTGTGAGTTGCCGCAACTTCAGCAGCGCCCCTGGCACGTGGCTTGTGCGCCACGACCTGACTTATACCAGCAAGGAGAGAGAGACCACAGTACGGTGCTTCTCTCTCCCGGGTTGACTCTCCGTGGTTAGGGGTCCGGGCCTAAGCTAATCTGCTTAAAGGTACACTGTGGTTTCTATAGGTCACCGTGCTTCCCTGGGGAGCAGGCATGACTGCTCCAGCATCCCACAGACCAAACCACTCTGTGACTTACTGCACTGAAAAATGGGTCCTCAAGAGGGTCCCTGCCGAATAAAATGTCGCTAAAATGCCCCT